TCATTTCCCTAACATCAACTTATCTGACCTTTTCTGCTTGTCTCAGACCTATACTAGATATTGCAAATAAGGGAAACCATGGAACCTATGTTTCTTTGGGCCTGGCTTACTTCACTTAATATAATTTTTTCCAAGTCTTTTCATTTCCTAACAAATGGGGTAATGTCATTCTTTCTGATGGAGGCATAGAATTCCATTGTGTATATATACCACATTTTCTTGATCCATTCATTCCATTAGCATCATCTTATATGGTCACATGAAAATAACTTTTGAGCTTTTCTGGATGTCTTAAACATATACTAGATATTGCAAATAAGGGAAACCATAGGACCTATGTTTCTTTGGTCCTGGCTTGCTTCACTTAATATAATTTTTTTCCAAGTCTTTCCATTTCCTAACAAATGGGGCAGTATCTTTCTTTCTGATGAAGGCATAGAATTCCATTGTGTATATAAACCACATTTTCTTGATCCATTCTTCTACTGAGGGGCATCTGGGTTGGTTCCATATCTTAGCTATGTTGAATAATACTACGATAAATATAGTTGTGCTGGTAGCTTTCGTATGACTTTGTTTGTGATCGTTTGGGTAAAGGCCCAAAAAAGTAGGATTGCTGGGTCATAGGGAAACTCTATGTATAGGTTTTTGAGGAACCTCCATACTGCTTTCCAAAGTGATTGAACACCTTTACACTCCCACCAACAATGCAGTAGGGTTCCCTTTTGGCCACATCCCTCCAGCATCTCTTATTACTAGATTTCTTGATTATAGCCATTCTAACTGGGGTGAGGTGGAATCTCAATGTTGTTTTGATTTGCATTTCTTTTATGGCTAGAGAAGTTGAGCATTTCTTCATATATCTATTGGCCATTCTTATTTCCTCTTCAGAGAAGTCTCTCTTTAAGACTTTAGCCCACTTATTAATGGGACAGTTGTTTCTTTGAGGATTTGTTGTTGGGGGATTTAATTTTTTGAGTTCTAAGTATATTTTAGATATAAGACCCTTGTCTGTTGTATGGCTAGTGAAGATCTTCTCCCAGCCCATGGGCTCAAAACCATTTCTATACAATTCATCTACTTGATATCTGTTGTCTTATTTTATTATTCTAAATCAACCACACCACACACATAAGTGTGATGTGAATAAATAAATGTGAATTTTTTTTCTCACCTGGATTACTGCTTCAGGAAACAAATCTTGCCATGCGTACAATCCCATCTATGGGATAGATTCCATATGAAGCACATTTTCCTTGTCTTCTCTGCATTTGTACTTTAGTCCCATTTGTCATAATTCCTTTACAATACTTTTAAATGGTCCCATTTTTTTGTCTTGTCCAGCAGTGGTCAATATTCTGGCCAGCATACACTGACCTCCATGTAAATGAATCAGATCATGTCAATTGTCAACAAGGAGGCACGTGATCTTGTTTCACCAAAGCATTTGGTCCACATCTGAAACTGTCCCTTTGTGCCTACACCAACTCACATCCTTGGCCTTCTTGCTGCCAACATTCAGCTCATAATCATACTTGTTTAGTACCAATTAGCTTTTCTCATAAGTCTGCAGTGTTCCCTTGCCAAATCTGTATAGTTTACCACATCTCATCATTTAAACTTAGCTTAAATACTAGCTTGTCAAAGAACCTGCCAGTCTAAGTAATATGCACCCAAACGACAATGTTACTATTCATCTCATTAAACATGAATAGAAATCTTTTCATGACCTAAGTTTGCTTTATTCCTTCATTCCTCTTTCATTCTACTATAAAAAAACCCTCCAAAAATCCTTTGAATGTGAATGTGAATGTAAATGTGTGTGTGTACATACTGACTACATAGAGTTCATAGAGGACCATGTAATATAAGTTAAAAGGAGTTCAACATTCATGTAAAGATGTTAAGATTTTCTTTAATAACCTATCATTTATAAGTAACATCTCTCTGATGGAGGTATAGAATTTCATTGTGTGTGTATTATATCTATATCTATACAAGATATAGATATAGATATATCACATTTTCTTGATCCATTCATCTACTGAGGGCATCTGGGTTGGTTCCATGTCTTAGCTATGGTGACTAATACTATGATTAACATGGTTGTTCTGGTAGCTTTGGTATGATCTTGTTTGTGATCATTTGGGTAAATGCCCAAAAGTGGGATTGCTGGGTCATAGGGGAGCAATATGTGGAATCTTTTGAGGAACTGCATCTTGTATATGCATTTTTCTAATTTGGGGAGGGGAAGGTAAATAACAAAATGCTGAAATAAGGATACAGGTTGACCCATTGTAACAATGAGATGTACAAGACACTGTGTTGAAAAGGAACTTTACAACCTGTGGAGAGGGAGGAGGAGTTGGGGATGTGAGGAGGGAAGGGATGGCAGGGAAAAACAAAGGAACAGGTAACAATGCTCAATAGGAAATGTACTTACGCATGTATCTGTAACCCCTCTGTACAGTATTTCTACAATAAAAACATTATAAAAAAGGTGGAAAGAAACAAAAAGTAAGTAACATCTCTAATATTGATAGCAAATTTTCAAAACTATACTGTAAGCCAGGTGCTGGTGGCTGCTCATGCCTGTGATTGTAGCTACTC